ACAGGTGTGTAAAATCAAGCACTTAGGCATGCAGACTGCTTCTACAAACATTTGTGAAAGAATGGGTCACTCTCAGAGCTCAGTGAATTCAAGTGTGGTACCGTGATAATTCCTTGCTACTAAATATTCCACAGTCAACTGTTAGTGGTAATATATATATATATTAGCAGAGTTAATATCTTGTACTGCCCCCTTTGGCAAGTATCACAGCTTGTAAACGCTTTTTGTAGCCAGCCAAGAGTCTTTCAATTCTTGTTTGAGGTATCTTTGCCCATTCTTCCTTACAAAAGTCTTCTAGTTCTTTGAGATTTCTGGGCTGTCTGTCACGCACTGCTCTTTTAAGGTCTATCCATAGATTTTCAATTATGTTGAGGTCAGTAGATTGTGAAAGCCATGGCAAAACCTTCAGTTTATGCCTCTTGATGTAATCCCCCGTGGATTTCGAGGTGTGTTTAGGATCATTATCCATTTGTAGAAGCCATCCTCTTTTTAACTTCAGCTTTTTCACAGATGGCATCAAGTTACCATCCAAAATTTGCTGAAATTTTATTGAATCCATTTTTCCTTCTACTCGTGAGATGTTCCTTGTGCCACTGGCTGCAACACAACCCCAAAGCATGATTGATCCAACCCCATGCTTAACAGTTGGACAGAGGTTCTTTTCATTAAATTCTGTGCCCCTTCTTCTCCAAACGTACCTTTGCTCATTCCCGCCAAAAAGTTCAATTTTAACCTCATCGGTCCACAGAACTTGTTTCCAAAATGCATCAGGCTTGTCTATATATGTTCATTTGCAAAGTTCAGACGATGATTTTTGTGGTGAGGACGTAGAAGAGGTTTTCTTCTGATGGCTCTTCAATGAAGACCATATTTGTACAAGTATCTCTTTATAGTGGAATAGTGTACCACAACTCCAGTGTCTGCCAGATCTTTCTGGAGGGATCGTGCAGTCAAACGTAGGTTTTGAATTGTTTTTCTCACAATCCTGCGAGCTGTTCTGTCTGATATTTTTCTTGGTCTTCCAGATCTTGCTTTAACTTTTCTTAACATTTCTTAATTACATTCCGAACAGAGGATATTGACATCTGAAAACGCTTTGCTATCTTCTTATAGCCTTCTCCAGCTTTGTGAGCGTCAACTATTTTCAGTTTCAGTTTTCTAGACAACTGCTTAGAAGAACCCATGGTGCTGATTGTTGGGGCAAGGTCAGATGAGTCTGGGCATTTAAAACCTTTGAGCTTGACATCACCTGGTCTTCCCAGACGATGATTGAGAACAATCCATGACACTGGCAGGTCTCAGCTTTGCAAAGGGGGCAGTGCATGCTATAAATTCTGCAGGGTGCCCAAACTTTTGCAGACGCCATTTTTTTGTTTTCTGTTATTTTGAAAGTGTAAACGATGGAAATAGAATCTAACTTTTGTTGACATATTATAAGAATGTCTAATCAGTAATTTGATGCCTTTTGGAGATTTTTCCATCTTTCCATGGCTTCTTTATGCACATTAATACAAATTTTTAGCTGGGGTGCCCAAACGTTCGATCCCCACTGTATATATATATTACAGGCACTTGTGTAGCTCCATCAATTTACACAGCGCGTTTACACATGTGCCCTCTAGGATATAGCTCAGGAATCAAAAAAATTATCTATCTGTCTATATATATATATATATATATATATATATACACACACACACACAGTATATGCATATATATATACAGTATGCCTCTTTTACACAACTACCTTCAGCACTCTTTTTTCCCTCATTTATGTTCTTTTTTAGAACATTACATCGCCTGTAGCACTAACGTGAAGAGCTGAAGAATTTGATAATGAATAAAAAAAGACTAGAATAATGACAACTAAAACATGGGTTTTGTGATGTATTATTCAAATGAAGAATACAATTTTCAGTTTGTGATGGTAAGCTGTTGCAGTCGGCTTGGTTAACTCCAGTAAAATGGTAAGTGCTCTATATGGTACATTAATTTTTAGCTTCTGCATATTAGAAGAGTTTTTTGGTACTGGAGCATCTCTGAAAACAGCTTTTTTTGCAGGTGGAGCTTTTTCCCTGCGGATAGAATTTAGCCACAAGTAAATGTTTAGCAGCATGATCTTAAGAAAGTGGGCAGTGACATTTATGGTATATATAATGTTTCAGAATGACTATAATTACCAAAAAACTTCAAAGTAACGATAGTCATACACACTTAAATTATCAGTTTCTTTCCTGACTGATCTTTTTTTATCAGAATAATTGCTCTATACTTGACAACCCCTTCTATGAGCATTCCACACATAGAGAAGTGGATTTTCATTGCTAGTTTTTATGATATGAAGGTAACTTACAATTTAAGCCATCGGTTGCATCCCTGTTTCCATGTAATCTTAAAATCTGATGAATCAAAATATGTTCATAATTATGAACAAAGTATCCCAGTGCTGCTGACTGATGCAAAGTGATTGACAATTTTCCACCCTGGCCAATAAACCCGATTTTGGTCAACATTAAGTCTCAGTAGTCAATCAAATGGGAAGATATGGCTATTCATGTTTTTGCAGATTCAGTTATTTTGATTGAATTACAGTTCAGTTGAATTAAAGAAAATTTAAAAGTGTTTGACCACCATTAGTCACCTATCAATTACATTAAATTATATTACTACTGGTGACACAACAGGAATTGAAGGGAAATCCCTTTAGTGACAACATGCCGTAATTAAAAACCTGACTAACTTTTTCCCATACTATCTGTAAAAAAAAAGCTCTTGAGCTGGAGTACCCCTTTTAGGTCTATGAAATCCGCTGTGTGGCTGGACAGAGTGGTTTGCTGCACTTCATTGCTCTTTGCACAATCTTATTAAAGAAGTCAAAGTCAGTTTATACATTGTGTCTATTTAAAGCTCTAAGGATTTTCTCAAGTACATCAGGTCAGTTGGAGTGGTGAAACTGCTAACATCCTCACCCTTAATTACTGTGTTTAAACATCAGCTTCATTTGATCATTAATATTTAATTGGTAATGCTCAACGCAATTAATGTCATGTGGTAGCCACCCAGTTACTCACTGCTATGACCTCTGTAGAGAAACGACACAAATTATGATAAATGTCACTCACTTAATGCAGAGGGACTCAAAGGTAAAGTTCCATCGGGCAAGCATTTCTGCGTGGGCTCAAGTCCAAGTGGTCCGGTGAACAAGGTTAAGTGTACCAGAGAAATCAGACAGCCCAGCCAACATATTCTGAAACTATCATGAAAAATTAAAGCTAGCTTCACTTTTCAGTGCAGATTGCTATTTCTTATTTCTCACCCCAGAGATAATCCATGGAAATATAAACTGTTTTTTACATTTGCAAAAAATGTGTTATTTAGATTCTCTAAAGACCTTGCTTCTAGATCTGACAGGTTATAATTATTTAACACTGCCAGGGGAACAGTGTTTGCAGATCAGGGCAACCAAGATAAACTACTAGATATTTGATTAGCTATATTCTGTCTTGCGCATGAAAAGATACTGGGATGACTCTGACATTAATTGCCTCAGTGCATCAATTTTTTGTTTTGTTTTAATGCGCAGATGTGGGACAGTGAAGAGAAATACTCTGGGTACCACACGTTAACATCTGCTTTTTTTGCTTTGTTAATTAGATCTAATGATGAAGCAAGTAGGAAAGTTCAGAGAAGAAACTTCTCCACTGTGTTATGAAGTACTTAATATGACCCTGAGGTCCTATAAAAACTCCTTATTTCTTGGGTAGATTTTGCACTCTAATCCGGCAGTCAGCAGAGGAACACATTAATTGTGTGTTTAGCATCTCTGCCTCGTTGCCTGTGAGCTATGCAGTATTATTAATAGGACTAAGATTCAAATGTCTCCTAAACGTTGAGTCTACAAAACTATTAATATTCAATTGTTGATGCTAAGTAGGTGATTGCTGGTGAAAAAAAATTGTACATAAGGGTTGCAATGAATTTTCTTTTGTTTCTCTGTACAGTGTGCAGATCAGGCACTCTTTAGCTGTTGAAAACAGCTTTCACTGGATATTTATGACCATTAAAATGTAACTGATGTCTGCTCTAATTTGAAGGAAAAAAACATTGTTTCACAATGAAATCATTTAAAGCGCGCTCCACCCAAAAGGGGAAGTTCTGCTTTAAGCCTTTGTCCGCTGCTCCCCATTAAGGATTGGCACCTTTAGGGAGCGGGTACCCGAATTTGATAGGTACCCGCTCCCACTTCCGCTGCGATCGCCTTGGTGATTGGAAACGGAAGTTGTTCTCCCCCCTCTCTCCCCGTAGTCTTCTGGGACACGTGAGAGGTCCCAGAAGACTGTGGTGCCTTTCACAACATGCAACGCTTCTCGCGCATGCGCAGTGGGCACCCAGCTGTGAAGTCACAAGCTGTCACCGCCAGGTGCACACACTGAAGATGCCGGCACCGGGAGAGAAGACGGCCGATGAAACCAGCCATGGTGAGGACACCGCTGGACCAAGGGACAGGTAAGTGGCTGTATTTTAAAAGACAGCAGCTACAGTTTTTGTAGCTGCTGACTTTATTTATTTCAGCTGAAACTCCGCTTAGTGATTCTAAAGTGAAAGTGATTCTAAAGCCTGAACATTTTTTACCTTAATGCATTCTTTGGCTCCTCAACCCCCCCCCCCCCATTGTACAGGCATTGTACATGTCTGTAGTTCATTTCCAGGTCTCACAAGCTTTGCTGAGGCAGTGGGAGCCATTGGCTCCCACTGCTGTCAATCAAAGCCAGTGACAAGGTTGCAGGGGGCAGTGCAGAGTCTTGCTGTCTGTGTCAATAGATACAAACTGCAAGGTGCAGAGATGAGCTTGCATGAGTGCCCCCATGGGAAGCAGCTTCCTATTGGGGGCACTAGCCAGAGAAAAGGAGCGCCTGCGGGGGACCCGAGAAGACAAGGTTCAAGGCCGCTCTATGCATTTCCATTGCATAGAGCAGGCAAGTATAGACATGTTTGTTGTTAAGAAAAAAAATCTTTACAACCACTTTAATATAGGCAAGTGACCCTTTCAGCTGCTTTCCTTGAAATGGAAGTGCATATGACATGTCAGTATGAACCTTCACATCAACAAAATATGAACATTTGTCTATTTGTTTAGTACAGCATGCTGATCAAACTTACAGCATGTTAATAAAAAAAAATATATATATATATATATATATATATATACATATATATACATACCTCTCCAATGGGCGCTAACTCATACCATTGCTTTGTCTAAAATATACATACATAACTGACCTAAAGCTGGTGGATGGAACCACAATGCTCTGCAGAGGAGGTGATAGGAATCCCACGCACTCACTGGCAGAAATATAAGCGATATCTCCTCTTCAAATTGACAATCCGAAACAGCACTTGCAATAGAGGAATGTATAAACAGTCGTCTTTTGCAGGGAATTCCAAGTGACAAAATTACTTTCACCGTAAATTGACTGTAAAGCTCTGAAATGAAAAATTAACAGAGCATATTGATCTGTAGTGTGTACTAGCTTCAATCTAAAGCATCAATTTTGATTTCTGCCTATTCTCACTTCCCTCTGCTACATGCATAAATCATTCTGATCACCTGTTATTCCAGAATTTCAGGAAACAGCCCTGCCCCCCCCCCCCCCAACACACAGCAGGTGATTGACAGCCTCAGCTGTGCATGTTTTCCTATTAGAGTGTATAGAGAGGGTGTGTCCTTTTGCTCCACTTGTATTAGAGGAATATTGCTTCATAGCGATGCCTAGATTAAGAGCTGGAATATTAATTAGATAGGTTTTACTCTCTGAATGCATCTTAAATTATAACTCTGGGTTTATTTTATTTTTAATACTCACATTATTGTAAAAAGTAGGCAGCTTTTATTGAAATACTTATCTTTATTCTGGTCTTTATATCTTCTTTGCCACAAGATGTCCTCAGAATGGTTAAATGATACCCAGCATCCATCAAACTGGTGGATCAAGGAAAACCTGTAAGTGCAAGGTATCATGGCCCTCTACACTACACTGCACATGTTCTCTACACTACTCGCAGTGTATTATGCATGGAGTGGCAATGATGTCATCACATCAGCGCCACTCCCTACATCACCTAGGTCCGCCCACCATTGGTAGATGTCTGAAGAGTAGGAGGACTCAGTGTGTCACACAACTGGCCAAAAGAAAGGTAAAAAATGTAAGAAAAACAAAAGTGAGTGTGAAAAGAGGCAAGTTAAAAAAAAAAACACACAATACTGCTGGGGAAGAATGAAAGGGGGGAGGCTCAAAGGGGACATGGACTAGGATCTCTTTACCAGAGCAGCAAGAACAATTTCATCATAGGTGTTGAGGTTTTCCTGCTTTAGACATTCTACCTGGCTGGCACAGCCACTGGGCTACTATAAACAACAATTAGTAATGTTATAATCACCGCGCAACTCACACTCAAAATATGTGACCGGGGCGGACTGACAACTCATGGGCCCCCCGGCAATAGGGGATCATGGGGCCCCTGTGTCCTTGCCCAAACTCAAAAAAGCCTATGAAAAAGGTACCAGGGGCATCTCATGGGGCCCCCTACTGACCCCGGGCCCTCGGGCAGTGCTCGAGTTTCCAAATGGTCAGTCCGCCCCTGTATGTGACTCAAAGTAGCTATCAAGTAGGTGTGTTAATAGCAAATATCTGACAAATCAAATGTATATGTGTATATAATGTACTGTATATGTATTGCTGCTACTTTAAATAGTGAATCACCCAATAATCACCTAATAAATCTTTAACATAAATAGTGGAAGCAGCACAAGAGAAAAAAAAAGAATGCTAAAGTGGCACAAAATATTATGCAGTAAAATACATGTGCTAAACAAACAAATAAATCAGTAAGTTACCGTATTTTTCGCTCCATAAGACGCACCTGACCATAAGACGCACCCTAGGTTTTAGAGGCAGAAAACAGGAAAAAAAAACATTCTGAACTAATGGACTGCAGACATAGTACAGGAGATGACCAGAGACTGCAGACATAGTAGAGGAGATGACCAGAGACTGCGGACAGTACAGGGATGACCAGAGACTGCGGACACAGTACAGGAGATGACCAGAGACTGCGGACATAGTACAGGAGATGACCAGAGACTGCGGACATAGTACAGGAGATGACCAGAGACTGCGGACACAGTACAGGAGATGACCAGAGACTGCGGACATAGTACAGGAGATGACCAGAGACTGCGGACACAGTACAGGAATGACCAGAGACTGCGGACATAGTACAAGAGATGACCAGAGACTGCGGACATAGTACAGGAGATGACCAGAGACTGCAGACATAGTACAAGAGATGACCAGAGACTGCGGACACAGTACAGGAGATGACCAGAGACTGCAGACACAGTACAGGAGATGACCAGAGACTGCAGACACAGTACAGGAGATGACCAGAGACTGCAGACACAGTACAGGGATGACCAGAGACTGCGGACACAGTACAGGAGATGACCAGAGACTGCGGACATAGCACAGGAGATGACTAGAGACTGCGGACACAGTACAGGAGATGACCAGAGACTGCGGACAGTACAGGGATGACCAGAGACTGTGGACACAGTACAGGGATGACCAGAGACTGCGGACTTTACAGGGGATGACCAGAGACTGCGGACACAGTACAGGGATGACCAGAGACTGCGGACAGCGCAGGGATGACCAGAGACTGCGGACAGCACAGGGATGACCAGAGACTGCAGACATAGTACAGGAGATGACCAGAGACTGCGGACAGCACAGGGATGACCAGAGACTGTGGACACAGTACAGGGATGACCAGAGACTGCGGACACAGTACAGGAGATGACCAGAGACTGCGGACAGTGCAGGGATGACCAGAGATGCGGACAGTACAGGAGATGACCAGAGACTGCGGACAGCACAGGAATGACCAGAGACTGTGGACAGTACAGGAGATGACTAGGGGAGGTGGGGGGCGGGTACCTGAATTTGACAGGTACCCGCTCTCACTTCCGCAGAGTTTTTTTTTTTTATCTTACCTGTTCCTCTATCCAGCCGCGCGCTGTCTTCCCGGCTTCTGTAGTGTGGGCACTCGTCGGACAGCCGGATTCCCAGTGCGCATGCGCGAGAAGCGCTGCGCTTTGTGATTGGTCCGGCGGCTTCTGGGATCTGTCATGTGTCCCAGGTACCGCCTTACCATTCACAAAGAGCACTGCTTCTTGCGCATGCGCACTTGGGACCCGGCTGTCACGCACACTACAGAAGCCGGGAAGACAGCGCGCCGCTGGATAGAGGAACAGGTAAGGTCCCACTGCAGAGCTGAGCGGCCGGCCCGGTATTCTGACACGGCGGCGGTGGAAATACCGGACCGGCCGCTCTATATTCGCTCCATAAGACGCACTGACATTTTCCCTCCTTTTTTGGGGGACAAGAAGTGCGTCTTATGGAGCGAAAAATACGGTACATCAGTTTGTCTGATTCATAAAAACAAATAATAAGCTTCAAGCAAGTTCACAAAAAAATGAAAAAAGTCCTTCTGATCTACTGAACCACCACGTGATTAAATGAAATGAATTCCACAAGTGCCAAATAAACTTCACTCCAGTGTCACCACATGCCATTTTATATATATTTATAAAAATGAGTTAATGAGTTGAAAAACCAATATCATTCTCTATAGTTCACACTGCCATCTTGCTTGTGAAAGTACTATAACAATATTCCCATGCTCCACCATATTGTTTGTGCCAAAATTATAAAGTGCGACACGCCTAATACTAAAAGCACCTCCTTTGAATTTACAGTTGTTGATTATGTTTTTTGTCACTTGAAACGGCCTTTTTTTCGGAACTGACAAACTCTTTAATCATATCCCTCTTTTCTACATCCTGCATTCTGTTTACATATTCTGGAGTCTTTCTAAGTTAATATTTACTGAAGTGTACTATTTAAGGTGCAAAACAAGCACTATAATATTCTTTTCCATAAACATGTCATGATGGAGAATGTAGTTCTCAATAGCTCACTAAGACAGCAATGATGTTCAGATACATGTGCCAAATGCAGAATGTCCCTATGTTCCTGGAGAATATGTAAATGTTGACTACCAACAGATTAATAAATAGCAACATTTCTAAGAACAGTGCTTATAATATTGTCTCTATATAAAAGATGGGCTGAGGGAATTGTCATTTTGTAAACAGACCTCCATAGCTACTGTCAAGACATATTAATTGAGAGGAATAAAACTGTTTATTCCAACTCCAACTCATATTATGACTTGAAAAAACAAATCCCTGTGCTTAGGTAAACCACACAAGTAAGCTTCCAGCACAAAAATTTGTGATACAAAATTTCCACTGTATATATATGAAAATGTGCAGCGCTATGAAAAATGATATATTTCACATTTTTGCTCTATTTGATGTTACATATTTTTCATAACGCTGAACATTTTCTTATATATCATAATATGGCATGGTCCAATATGTTGCCACTAGCCTTGGGTACCATATCCACTTGAAGACCAAGCCTTTTCTGGCACTTTTTGTTTAACAATCAGTTTGTTTTTTTTTGCTAAAAAGTTTCTTAGAACTCCCAAACTTTATGTATTTTTAAAGCAGATGCGATAGAGAATAAATTGGTGGGTTTTGCAATTTTATGCCACACAGTGTTTGCGCATCAAATTTAGGGGAAATTGCAAACGCAATTTTTGGGGAAATTTTATTTTTAAATTTGAATGCAAAAAAAAAGCACAATACATAGCTCAATTTTTGGTAAAATCTAAAGGATGATGTTACGTTGAGTGAATAGATACAAAACATGGTACGCTTTTAAAATTGTGCATGCTCGTGCAAGGAAAAAAATTACGTTAATTTTACTATCCATAGGCAGCGCTTTAAAAGTCTTTTCAGCTTACCACTTTAGATTTACAGAGAGATCTGGTGCTAGAATTACTGCCCATGATCTGATGTTTGACTCTTCACATGTGTTGGACGTTCACTGTTTGCTTGCATGTGTGACTGGTGTGCATGTTTGCCTTTGCATGCAAGCCTGGGGGACTCTTTAATTCTTTTTTTGTTTTTTTTCACATTTTCTTACTGTTGCCTTAAAAAAAAAAATTTAGATCACTTTTATTGCTGCCACCAGGAATTTAAACATCCCTTGTGACAGCAATATTCATATGACAGGTACTCTTTATGGAGAGATCTGGGGCCAATAAGACGCCACATCCCTCTTCTGCCCTTAAAAACATTTAATCACATTAAGTTCAGTATAATTAAACGCTTTTCTTTTTAAAAAATGGTGCTGTTTATTTCTGAGTAAGCCAAAAGTGATGTAAGGTCAATGTTTCATAATATTTCATAATGTTACTATATCATAGAGCCGAAGAAAACCGATCTGGTCTCTGTTCGGCTCTGTGATTAGCCAGTGGAAGCTCCTCCTGGTTAATTGGGACACCTAGTGGAACAGGAGATCCCAATAAAACCACAGAAAGGCGGCGGGGGGGGGGGGGGAACAATCGAGCAACTAGTTATCCACTCCGATTGCTATTACAAGAGAGACAACTGTTGGCTCTCAAAAACAGTACCGGACCAGTACCAGGCATCATCCCAGAATAACGACTCAAACTCCAGCGATGTACCCGCTGAAGTGGATATGAGATTTGTTTTGGAAAGGAATATGTGGAATTAAATTGTGTACACAGGAAAGCCAGTGTCTGCATACGTATTCTAGGTAACTCGCTTGTAGAGACCTAAGCAAGCACAGATATGTAGAGCTTATGACAGATGTTTGTTTCAATGTGATTTTCCTTTTAATGGGCTTATTTTGTTTCACATGTGCAGACAGTAGATAAGGCTGTATGTTTTTACTGTCCTCATTCTTTATCTGGATGCTGAGATTGACTGATTGACATTGTAATTATACCAATGTCAAATACTGTAGGTAGCTTTAACGTGTTCGTGTATGTGTGTGAATATGTTTATGAAGACTAGCATTTTTTTGAGTGAAAACAGTCACCAAAAGTATGCAACATATTTTCCATGTGGAGGAGTTGCCCATTTTTTTAAATCTCTTGCCAATTCAAACATAAGCTGGTAATTCCACCTTTTAGACTTTTTAGACTATTTGGAAAGATAATCAGCACTCCTGAGATGAGTAAAATCCAAGGCATTATTAGATCTCTAAGAACAGCACATACTGGTGCTCAGATACTGCAGCCCCTCAGGTATGAGATTAGCATATTACATTGTGCCAAGCAGGATCATTGTAAGTATGGATAACAGATCATTCCTGGAGTGCAGTTTTAAAGTCTTAATCCAGCCAAAACATTTCTTGTCACCTTGAGAAAGGTGGCCATAGTGTCTCAGAAACAATGGTGGTTTTGATGTTTTCTATGTGCTTATATGCTGTTGTTGCAACTAAGACCTCAATAAAAATTGAGGTCTTTACCTACTAGATTGTTGGCCATTTATCTATCATAGGTTTTATTAGCTATCTGGGGCTCCACTAGAGAGATCTTACCTTACGTCCTGTACGATTGAAAATGTTTTACTACACAGTAAGTTAGGAACCTCTTAGGAACACAGGAAGAAATGAAAATACTTTTATGTTGTAAAGTCGGGGAAGGCTAGAACCCCTATCAGATTTTTATTCCTGTCTGTGTCCCTGTCACAGATTTTCCCTCACTTCATGTTTGCTGGAACCATTGTCTGTAGGACAGTCAGCAGGCAGCTGTTTAACTTGATATAGAGATTGAAATAAATAGTTAAATCTCAGAATCTTCACAACAGGATAGAGTAACCTTACAGGAAGACCTCAATAAAATAAAAGGGTGGGCAACTACATGGCAAATGAGGTTTGATATTGATCAATGTAAAGTGGGGATTACATTGTAAAAATATGAATGCAATTTACATGCTATGGAGAGAACCTCTGGAGGGATTATAGGATAGAAAAGGATCTGGGGGTCCTAATAAACCACAGGCTTAGCAATAGCATGCAATGCCAAGCTGCATCAAGCAAGGCCAGCAAAACTTTGGTCCGGCCACATCTTGAGTATACTGTCCAGTTCTAGTCTCCAGTTCTTAGGAGGGATGTGCTGGAACTGGAGAGAGTCCAGAGAAGAACAACAAAGCTGATAAGGCAACTGGAGGGCCATAGTTATGAAGAACAACTACATACATTAAACATATTCTCCCAGGAGATGAGATATGATTGTACAAATATCTAAATGGTGATTCTAGCATAGGGAAAAAATAATCAGTCTCATGTTGCTTAAAAATAGCCACTCAATGAAGTTGGATGTTTAATCTTAAAACAGGTAGGAGATTATTTACTGTGAGAATGGTAAGGATGTGGAACTCCCTTCCACAATTGGTGTTGTCAGCAGGGAATATCATTCATTTAAAAAAAGTCTTACATGGGCATCTTAGCGTATGCAGGGATATGGGAAATGGTAGACACATAAATACAGGCACACTCATGCACCCACACAGGGTATACTGGGTGGACCAATGTCTTTATTCAACCTTACCAATCATGTAAATATATG